ATCCCTTCGGACATCCATTTGGATTCAATCAGAAGCCATCTTGATCACAATGGAATTCTCATTATTACTGTGAGTTCTTCATTTTTTGGTGACATCATGTAGTTTTGATCCTCCATCTCCATGTTCCTCCAAGGAGTTGGTCCACCTACACAGCTGATGATGGGTCTCATTTTGTAATCGCTAGCATTAGCTGAGTTCTCACCTCCGTTGGACAACTTATGAGTCTTTATCAGGCTATAGAAAACAGGGCACAAGGGCGTATCCAACTAAATACGTACCCTTCCCATGCAACTTTTGTCGTCATATTCTTGTCTAACCACAGATTTTACTAGGTTTTTCGGAGTTTTATACTTCTGTGATCACACCGATTATCGCGTTTTCTTCGTTCGTTTCGTTTACCACCTTCAACCCAAAGTTATTGTGAACTGTGCTTTTGGCTTAATCTAGCTTTTTTTTCAATAACTAGGAAGAAGTTTTGTATAGAAAGAGTTTACAAATTTCTCTCAAGGGGAGCGGGTTATGGGAAAAACATAAGCCCCGCAGTGTTTTCGAATCGCGTGATGCGGCGAAATGACAACAGTTAACAAACAAATAAAAAAAATCGTTCCCACCGAGAAAAAATTAAGCGATAGCTCAACAGTGGTGTTACAAAGATGTTAAAAAGTCCTCTTATCATCCGTATATTTCATGTTTATAACAATCTTTTCAGGGTTCACGACATGGCTGGAGGGAAACACATATCAGTGTACATTCAGCAGGAAACTACGATCGTAATAACTCGGTTATCAGCACTGTGTAATTGGCCATCTCATTACCGCAACTCTCTACCGCGATGCAAAGAGAACTCGTCCTCTAACCTCTCCAGAACATTCAGTACAATGATTCTTTCGTTGGACTGCTCAATGGTGGTCCACATAACGAATCCTAAACCCGGTAGAGCTTTAGGTTTTCAGTGCTGAATGTGATCTGTCCGAATTTTCGTCATACCATTGCTCGTCGCCTCATCCTTCGCTCTGATTGCCTACAATCTCTCAAGTGCTTACTCATTTCCGGTTGCTTTAGCACATCTCAATTTCATATTGCATTGTATAAATAAAATTTTTTTTGAATCATTGCAACATTTCGAGTTTTATCATTGAATACCTCGAAAATAATGGCCCTACGAAATTTTTTTCAGACAGTTAGGGTGAGTTTTTTCATTTTTCTAGGTTTCGTGTAGCCGGAAATATATTTCCGGA